CTGCTTGGGCTCCTCCAAATCCTGTTCTGATTTGAACATAAATAAAGTCCCCAAACTCCCAATATATACTGACAATCTAATGCAGTACTGGGGGAGTAGTTCATTGTTCCCGGTGTTGTCCTTGAATTGAGATGTTAAACTGAGCTCTTGTCTGTCTAATCAGGTGGATGGTAAAAATTCCATGGCTATTAAAAATATGATGGCAATTTTCCTAGCATCCTGCTAACAGATAAATTGGTCATTGACTTCATGTTTATTTATCAGTCATTACTGTGAGCAAACTGGTTGCAGCATTTGTCTACAGATATACAGACAGCAACTGAAGGCAAAGTATAACATGCTTTGAGAAGTTTTGACATTATAGGCGGAAGGATTATTATGATTTCAACAGCATTCATCATTTAAATGAATTAAAGGTCAACAGAAAGGCAAGAAGCACAAAGATTTTTTTACAACTCTCGGAAAAACAAAAGCGCCTTAAAAAAAGATATTTACAGAATATATCTTTATTAAAAAGCTATTAAATAAGGTTTAGTCCATTAATACTCAAAAATATAAAATTTTCTAGGAATGAGAACATTTTTTCCTTTAAGAAACCAAACATTTTCATCCCTTTTCTGTCTGAAATTATGTTTAGGAATTCAATTCTAAATATTCCAAATCACACTAAAATACAGATTCTTGGGAGATTTAGAATATGTCTGCAGAAAAGCTGAAAATTCAAATTATTTTGGTGGTGTGGGAGGGAACACAACAGAAGTCCTCAAAACACTAAATGCTCTCAGGCGATATGAAGACAAATGGGCATCTAAATGATAAGTGAACACTTGGACAGTGATGAGTTTTATCCCAAACAATGTACATATCCTCAGAAATGATCTAATTCTTTGTAAACAATGGAAATTATCTGTGGTATTGTACATAAAACAATCTTAACTTTAGTAATCGTGCCACACTTGTGGATATATGACTAGCTGTTAGTCCTGGCCTTTTTTCTATCTTCCCCTGTCCACCTTCTCCAGAAAAGCACTGCTTGGGTGCAATTGCTCATGCTTTGGTGCAATTCTCCAGGTGCTGGCAGCCTTCAGGAACTTTCTCAAGTGCTTATCCTTTCTGTGTAAATCTGGGCATTAAGCGCTGGTGGGCCAGAACAGTGAGTGCAACTGTATTCTCAGGACCAGATTACCCAATAAAACAGGTAAACCATATCATAGGGCCCTTAGGTCTGAGGGGCCCCACATATGATTGACATCTTTACTTCCTGGCTGCATTTCTCTTCTGTTTGATCTCCACGCTGTCTCATGCACAATGGGAAGAGAGGCAGTGTGGAAGGTGTGACTCCTACTTCCCACATTGCCACTCTTCCTGTCATTCTCCATGCAGCCTTATGCATTGTACAGCCAGTTACAGTGGCTCCCTTTCTCAGTCTTCCCTGCCTCCTCCCTTTGCTGCTCCAGCTTTTATAATCTGGGCCAATAGAAAAGTGCAGATATTTTTGCAAAAAATTGCGGAGCGCTTCGCAGAGCTTGCAGGAAATTGTGGCAGCCTTTACTGGAATTTGCCGGGAAATTGTGGGGGTTAACTGGTGCCATTGAAGTACATTTAACGGCTATATTTTTTCACCTTATTGATAAAAACTAAACATAAGGAAATAACACACATAAGATTTTTTTTGAGGGGTGGGGGTACCACCAGTGAGGCTACAGGAGCTCACCACCTCCAGTCATTCAGGGCCAGCACCGCACACAGACACAGAGACTCAGAGAGCGACACACACACTCAGAACACAGGGAATGATACACACACTCACAGACACAGAGAGAGACACACACAGACACAAAGAGAGACACACACAGACAGAGACACACAGAGACACACACAGACACAAAGAGAGACACACACAGACAGAGACACACACAGACACAGAGAGAGACACACAGAGACACACACAGAAAGAGACACACACAGACACAAAGAGAGACACACACAGAGAGACACACACAGACACACACAGACACAGAGATACAGAGACACAGAGAGAGACACACACAGACAGAGATACTCATAAACATAGACAGACTCACATAGAGATACACAATCACAACAGCGGGGCCTCCCAGTATTTGCCCCTTGAGCTACACTGAGCGTGCATGCCAGGAGCCGCTCAGTCCACAGTGTGAGCGGCCCGCGGACCAGAAACTACATTTATGGCGGGTTTGTAGTGGGCAGGGATCGTGGTAGCGAAAAATGTGGAAAAGGTGTGGCCGCACTTTTCTATTAGCCCAACTTATAACTCACCGTTGACCATGGATCAATCCTGACACCTTTGTGGTCTACACTGTGCAGCCACCTCCTGAGCCATCAACTGTTTCCAGAAATAAAAAAAAATGAATTATTTCATTCCAACAATTTTTATCAGAATTTGAAGGTGTGAGGATGGAAAACCATTTCTTAAAACAGAATATCAATGAGAGTGATGGTAAGAAACAGAAGTGCACACAGACATAATTCAGCCGGTTAATATTACGGAACGGTTTTACTATCAGTGAATTATTACCAAGACGGAAGAAGTTTTTCTCATCAGCAACAGGATTTTCTCAGCTGCAAATAGGCATGAAACATTTATCCTGTGTGTGGCATGAAACAGTGATGCCTCTTATCAGAACCAGCAATGTGGCAATTAAGATAAAGATTCCTTGTAGCCAGTGTGAAGATTTAAAGAATCCAGACTACTATAGTCCATATTTTGTGAGTAGGTAATCAGTCACTTAAGTACTTGTTATTCCCCTTTCTCTTAGTAACTTTCAGGCATTACCAAAGATCCCTGTAGATACACTGGGGTCTAAATTAGGAATGTGTTAAACAGATTCCACAGGGACCTGGAAGTGACAACACTTTGAAACTCCACTCGGACATTGACCCACAAGCTACAATTGGCTACAATTCATGGAAGTTAAAGCTGAGACTGGCGTCAGAGCAGAGTTCCAGAAGGTCAGCCTTAGATGTCTGCAGGATTCACTGATTACAAATCCTTTTGTGAATCTCGCAAACTCACAAATACTGTTGGACTTCACCGTCCAAAAGCTGACTCCACTGTGTCGCCACTATTACATATAGAATAAATGGCTGCAATCGAAGTGATGCCACTTTGTGTTGCTCAGATGGCTCTTAAACTCCTAGTGAAAAAGCAATCTCACTTTATTAATCATTGCAGAGTGGCCTTTTCTTATCTAAAGCACCTCAAAGGTGACATTGAAAATTTCATTAACTCTCCATCTCTGCTTGTGCAATCTCAATCTCCAACAATTTAATTTAGTTCAATGAAATGTTTTCTCATGCAGCATGAAGAGTTAATGAGGAATGCTTTCAATCACCAATTAAACACGTTTTTACTACAATTCCTGTGTACTGAACTGCTTTCAACAGACTGTCCACAACACGACTTTATGTTAAGACCTTATGCTGCACTTTTTTTAAAAAAAGTCGTCATTCTATTTAATGTACTACACAGAATGGAGAGGACAGACAGCAAACCCTTTAGTTTAAATATGTGAGGAGGATCCCATGTGGAAAACAAACTAGAATTCGCCTTCACTTAAATCAAGGTTTTTAATCTCTGCAAAAGTCTTTCATGTATAAACCACTGAGTAATGATCTCTATTTGTCTCTAATTTCCTTTCACCAGTAAACCCATTGGAGTGTGACAATTAACTAACTTAATTGGGCTAAATTAATTATGCTTTCACTCAGGTCAATATATATAGCTACCTTGCTTAATACCATGGTGTAAAGTTAATCTTTTTAAGATCAAAGTCGTCAAGTCATGTGTTAGATACTAACTGAAGCTAAATGGTAGCACATCTGTAAGCAACTATTTACATACAGGGCATGGGAGCGCACTTTTCCTGAAATATGAGATAAATGTGGAGTCCTGTAGCTCAGTGGTTAGAGCACTCGCTTTGCAAGTGAGAGACCTGAGTTCAATTCCAGGCAGGGCGAAACCTTGGGCAAGTTTCCTTACTCCACACAGAGCCTAATAATAATCCCTCCAAAAAACCAAAAACAATAATAAATTGGTCATTTTCAATCTACGACTGTTTGTGGGACATTGCTGTGCGCAATTGGCTGCCGCGTTCGCCCACAAATATACAGTCAATTCACTTTACAGTGTGTTCTGTGAAGCGCTTTGGGATGTCCTCCCGACATGAAAAGCGCTATATCAAATGCAAGGATTATTATTATTATAAATGCAATTACACAATGCACTGCAAACTCGGAATAAAGGAACATCAAAAATCCAAACAGTCTAAATTGTTTTTGTTCATCTTTCCTCACTCTCATGTACATGCAGATTTGCAGCTCCATGTTTGAAACAACATTCCCTTTTTATTGAACTGAACAATAATGTCAGCTGCTACTTGTGGCTTCAATAATTAAGTGGGATGTCAGTCCTCCTCATCTAACCCTGTGCTGCACAAATGGTGTGATAGAACTGAAGTCTCCTCCAGCCATTGTAAAATTAATAGAATGACTTTTAATACCTCCAGAGACACTAGTCAATTTTTCTAATCCTCTTAAAACTGCTTGCTCAGTACTTTTGACTAATAGTAGCAACTTAAATAAACAGTGCATCTTTACTCAGATAAATCTGTAAGATGCCTCAGCCATGCATCACTAAGGGAAGAAAGGTTACAAGAAGCGCCTTATCCAGGTCTGCCATGAGTGCTAAACACGCTGATACTAATGAATCATCTCAACAGATTAACTGCGGCTAATTTAATCTACTCCTTGCTGAATATTTTATATGTTGCTACTTCAAAGATTTATTGCTTAGCGCAGACTGCACAGTCAACATAGCAAAGACTCCTTTGTACATGCTAGACCTAGGTAACACTTAAGTCAGAAAAAGGATAGAACTTACATTATGCTGAATTTCATAAAATAAATACACCCAATTCATCATCACAAGTTACAAAGTACATTAAATGAAAAGCACACACTTGCGATTGAATGCTATTGCAATCCGAAGAGAAAAGCTTGTAGTCAATATGGTTATCAGGCTCCATCAGTTTCAGAAGAGCCTGCAAAAATGGGACAAAATGGGACAATGTATTTGCATGTTTAGCTTCATGCAGGTTCTGTTACACTGGTTGTTTTTTTTAAATGTATCATGGCAAAAAAAATGCACTGATGATTCACTAGTGCAACCTTTGACCATGAAACAATTCTCAAGGTAATTTATACTGAGCTGGCAATTCACCAAGAGGAGTGCGAGTCTTTTAAAAGATGTACCTCAACTACAATGAAACATTTAGCCAAGGTGGACACTTGGGGTTCTCATTGAGCTGGGAGGAAAATTCATCTCGTCTGTTCAAACGTTTCTGTGAAATATTGTTTTGTTCCATCGAACAACGTAGCCTTGGAAGTAAAATCATGAAAAAAAATCTGTAATAATGAATATTAATTCAGAACTGCATATTCTAACAATATAATACACTTCAGGAAACATTAGCCTTCATCAAAATTTGCTAGATTGTATAAATTGGTCATTTTCAATCCACGACTGTTTGTGGAACATTGCTGTGCGCAATTGGCTGCCGCGTTTGCCCACAAATATACAGTCAATTCACTTTACAATATATTCTGTGAAGCGCTTTGGGACGTCTAGAAGACGTGAAAAGCGCCATATCAAATGCAAGGATTATTATTATTATAATTAAAAACATAATTCTTAAACATTTAACTACTTTTTTTCAATGGTCGTACTATTTATTTTTCAATTTTCCCATTCCAGTGTTTTTCAACCATATTATTGGAGATTAGGATTCCAGTATTTCATCATCAATTCTAAATAAACTGGAAAATCAGGAAAGACATAATTCAATTATGTGATTACTAACCAGCTTGTTTTCGGAATAATAAGTAGGAATAACAATGGAATAGTTAAACCAATAACATTTCTATGGTATCTGAGGCCAAAATCTACATGGCATTAGTCTTAAGACCACCATCTTAAAATTCAAGACTACAGAATTTTGGAAATGTCTTAAAATCAGTACTATTTGGAAGGACAGTTTTCTTAAAAGGAACTATAGAAACTACAAAAAAATGGATTTACACTTGCGTTCCCAAATTATTTTTCTTGACCTGAAGCTCGCATTTTAATGCTGCTCCACAGGATACCAGTTCAGTTGAGGCTATATCCAATTTTTAGTTGCATATTACGTTTGTTGTCAACAAACAGAATCTATCACTGGAACGCTGAAATATTGGGATACAATCATTGTACCAAAATCGCACCACCTCCTTTTAATCTTCCGATTGCTGTATGTTATAGTTCAAGCAGCACCACTCTGTGGCAGGGATGAGATTTCACAACTCAGGTCATTGTACACCAAATGTCCGAAGTATCTCATTGTCTTAAAATGTAAAATCGTGCAGATTGGGAGACAAAATCTTAAATTCAATCATAATTTGGAAGTTGGCTTTCCACAGTTCTTCCAATTTAAAAAAAGACTTCCAAATTAAGACTGAATTTAAGACTTCCCCAAAATTCTGCAGAACCGAAAACATTATGACAATTGTATTTGGGCTAAAATGATGCAGATTACGGGGTTTAATAATAATAATAATAATAATAATCCTTGCATTTGATATAGCACTTTTCACGTCGGGAGGACGTCCCAAAGCGCTTCACAGAACATACTGCAAAGTGAATTGACTGTATATTTGTGGGCGAACGCGGCAGCCAATTGCGCACAACAATGTCCCACAAACAGTCGTAGATTGAAAATGACCAATTTATTATTGTTTTGGGTTTTTGGAGGGATTATTATTAGGCGTGTGGAGTAAGGAAACTTGCCCAAGGTTTCGCCCTCTGCCTGGAATTGAACTCAGGTCTCTCGCTTGCAAAGCGAGTGCTCTAACCACTGAGCTACAGGAATAATAATAGTTTAGGTACTATAGCAATGCAATCTTCTTTCAGATTGGTGGGGCAATCTCGCCTTAGAAACTGTCCATTGATGTTAACCTCATTTGGAAGGATAGGGCATCTTCTGCTATCCCTTCTAACCTGGGACAAGAGGGCTGTGTCATCTTAAGGGATCCATCTATGGTCTCAGTTGAAAAGGTGTAAAGTTAGTTTACACCCATGTTTGAATTACAAGTTGGAACTGAATCCAAAATTAGTTCTGTGTCCATTTTATGGAGAGTTCTGTTCCTGCTTAGTCATTTGTCTTATTCTACTCATTTTTTAAATGCTGCACATTTTGTCAACTAGTAAGTAATGGTGGGCAGATAACAGTCTGCAATTGCATATTGCAAGTTTTTACCACCCCAAATATTGAAGCATATCCTCTTACGAACACTTCAAGGTAGCTACTGTATGTTATTAATGTAACAAATAAAGAAAATTACAGCATACATTAGGCAAATGACAAAATTATTGACCCAGACTGACACATTATTCATAGGACAATATATACACATTAAGGTCTCAGCTGGAATACTGCAAAGCCAAATGTGTTGTGAAGCATAAGATTTGGGTTTTAAAATGCTCTGCAACTTTAAATGATAGTATTCACAGTATCAAGAGCACTGTTTTCCTATTCCCAGAAATGTGTTTAATTCAGATATACATTTTGAAGTAGCTTCTGTAATTTCAGGGGCCAGGAATTTTTATGAACTCCAAAATACACTACTTACTGCATCATGCAGGAGTCAGGAGTATTTGTGAACCTTTCACCACATGAGAAGCAACCATACTGGCATTAAAATTATTCAAAATAATGTCAAGATCATAACTATTTTATAAAGGATATGGATCACAATCTACTGATTTTTAAAAAAGAATCAAACTACATAACTCCAGACTAATTGATACCTTATGAGTTTGTATTATCAAATCAATGATCCTCTTATTTGCAGTGTACATTCATTTGATCCAAAATAGTTTGCTTTCACAAATAAAAATAAGAATTTTTTTTACATGTTAATAGTGTTAAAGGTGTTCAAATCACTGTAGCAGGACTGCTATTTGAAGTTCGGATATCAGACCAGATGGAGGTGGAGCAAACGCTGAAATTATCTGTGATTATTTAATGCAAGAAGGACAACATGTGTTGTGGCTGGATTTACACGTTATCGATGGTAACATTTTGGTGATATCAGTCAAAACCTAAGCTCTGTCTTTCTTTTTGGGCAAACCATTGCTGCCCTAATCCAAGCCAACACCACTTTCTTCTCATTCTCTATTTTTTTACATACATGATTACTTGCAGCTAACGGGTCTGAATACATTACATTAACTCTTCATCAGTCCCTGTATATCATGTCGGACACCAATCTGGCTGGTGATTATGCAAGGTATAAATTAGCATTAAACTATCTTTAAATCAGAATGGAACCAGTTTTCAAATTAAAGTTCCATCAGTATATTGCATGGCGCTGTCATTTTAATAACCAAATCAATTCCCCTTGGCCCAGAGTAGGGAGTAAACGGATGCAGTCTTCATTTGACAGAGGTTTATCTCTGCTACCAGACAAACATGACTGTAATAAAGATATCAGTCCAGCTCACTAATAAAGCCAGTAGATACAGAGGCAAACACACCTCTAAGACTTGTCAAAAACTTACTAACCATTCAAGAAAAAAAATACTTTTGTTAACATTAACTACTCATAACACATGTTTTAGGATACATTGTAAGTGTTAAATATTTGAGCCTCTATTGGTTGTCATGTAAATCCATACAAAGGGCATAGAGTGTGCAGTTTTGACAGAAGGATTTTCTTCAGGGACCATATCACATTTTACATCTGGGTGGTTTGATTCAGTTTGGGTCTATCCATCCTGAACACATTTGCGCAAATACACAAGTTTGACAATAAAAGGCTTATTAAACACTATTTTATTTATTTTTTGCAGCCAAACATTAAAATGAGCAGGCTGCTGAGTGAAGTACATCACCCATTTAAAAAAGGACAGACTGCATTAACAGCTCAAAACATGCAGCCCCTGTCTTTTCAGGAAAAAAAACACTAACTGTCTGTCCATTATGTGACAGGACAGTATATACAGGAATTATCAGAAACACAGAAGTGACTCAGTGTTAATGACTCAGGGATAATGACTAAGTCTGGCTTCTTTTTTGATGTAAATGTACCACAGACTACAACAGTGTACAGTTCTTCTGTAACAGAATAATAGGAAAACGGAAAAGGGAGGCAATTGAACACATTTCACCAATTTATTAGATTTTGATAGATCTTTTAATCTCAATGCCCTGCCCTTTTGTTATATCCCTTGATACCACTATTGCCCAAGTATCTCTCTCTCTCTCTCTTTTAAATTATCCCTATTGATTCCGCCTCTACTGCTTTTTGGAGGCAGAGCATTCCACATCTTCACAAACTCAGTGTGTAGAAATGTATCTTGAACTCGGCTTTAGTTTTGATTTTAAGGCTATGTCCCCTTGTGATGGATCCCTCAATTATTGTCCACGATCTAATCTGTCAGTTCCTTTCATGAATTTAAATACCTGCATCGAGTCATCTCTTAACCTCCTCTGCTATAAGGAATATAACTCCAACCTACCCAGCCTCTCGGAGCTAATATTTTTAGATTAGTAGAGACTTAATAATGTGACCACACTTGAGTCAATGCATGTCTGGTTTTAACAACAACAAATTACATTTATATAGTGCCTGTCACATTGGAAGGACGTCCCAAATTATTTTACAAATATGACTGATCATAAATTGATAATCAATAATTTAGTTCTGCAATATATTTAACAGAGCCCATCTCACTAATGTCCAAGTTACACCCTAACGCATCAGCCTGAATACTAAAATATGACTTCTGCTGCAAGTGAGTCTTGACAGTTTTTCACACAGGTAAAAATCCCTGCATCCATTTTACTCTTACGCCACACCAAGAGGAGTTGTCATAGTTATTAAAATAACACTACATTGATGGGACTTTCATCTGAAAACTGGTTGCATTCTTAATTTAAAGATTGTTTAATACCTTACCTTTAATAGCGAGACAAGATATTTGATTTATTTCATGGGTGAATAGCAATGCTAACAAGATCCAAGGTAAGATTAGTAGCATTGTAACAAAAGCAAAGTGTATTTTTTTATATATATGGTAGATTTGGGAGGATATTTGGAGATGGCAAGAGAGACTGAGGACAGAGGGATTCAGGGCAGCAAGGACCTTTCACATTATAGCCAAGATTTAATTTGTTTTCTAATTTGATTTACTTCACTACCTTCATCCTTACATAGAATTTGGGCCATGAAGATGTTTCGAATCAGTATTTTCTTCTTACTTCGAAAATAACATGAACAATAATTCTCCTGCTCTCTAGCATTGCCTTTAACACACAGGACAACATGTAAAGGTGCTTTGCAGTAAAATTATTCTATCCCAATACTGCACTTTTTTCAATTACAACAACAACAACAAGATTACATTTGTATAGCGCCTTTCGCGTCAGGAGGATGTCCCAAGGCTGATAGCTAATGTGTCCAATGCTATGTTTGTGCCTATCACAAAATAACAGAAATAGTGTTTTCTACTTTTTTACAAATTTCCCTTCAGTGTCAAAATTGGGCAGAAACTTAGGCAAATTTCATTACTCCACATACAAGTCTCTGTTTACCTAGCAGTAAGTAGGAACCCGTTGTTAGTCGACTGGCAGATTGCTTTTCCGGAGGTAATAATCCCTCAAAAAAAATAATTTGGTCACTCAATCCACTACTGGGACACTGCTGTGCGCAATTAGCTGCCGCTTTTCGCCCACAAAATACACAGTCACTACACTTTACAGTATATTCTGTGAAGCGCATTGAGACCTGTCAACGATGTGATAAGGTGCTATATCAAATGCAAGGTTTATTTTTTTTATTATTATTATAATTGAACAGCTAAAGCACTTGAAATATCCAACAGCCAAAGATTAGTTTAGTGATTTGTGTAAATAAACAAAAACCTCTTAAAATAAATGCTTCAAATCAAGAGATAACATAATCCTTAGCACTCACAACATGAGTCACTTTGTGCCAAAAGATTGAAGAACAGATCCATTTCCAAATGACATGGTCATGGTGACACTGACAACCGACTTCTGTTACTGCGTCACCTATTGGTAAGCTGTGTCCTCATACTTAAACATTGTGCTGAACCTTTCCAGAAAAGCAGATATAGAGTAAATAGTTCATTACACCTAAACCGGTCTAATATGAATTGGTTCAGTTCTTTGGCCAGGTTGAGGGTACTATCACCTTGGATTCTGTACTGTTTTACTGACAGCCTGAAGCTTTTCCCAAAGCCGATCATCTATTTGCATGTTGGCACTATATGAATGTAAATTCTATCCCACTATAAAGGTTAAAGGGTAAGACATTTCCCAGTGTGCAGTGTAGCTTTTAACAAAGAATAATAACAATAATAATAATCCTTGCATTTTTGCATTTGACATAGCGCTTTTCACATCTTCTAGACGTCTCAAAGCGCTTCACAGAATATACCGTAAAGTGAATTGACTGTACATTTGTGGGCGAAACGCGGCAGCCAATTGCACATAGCAGTGTCCCACAAACAGTCGTGGATTGAAGTGACCAAATCATTATTGTTTTTCTTCTTGAGGGATTATTATCAGGCGTGTGGAGTAAGGAAACTTGCCCAAGGTTTTGCACTGCTTTCTCGGGAATCCAACCGAGCTTTCTCGCTTGCAAGGCGATTGCTCCAACCACTGAGCTACAGGATTCCACAAAAGGAAGAATGTTCTTCCTTTTGATCACACAAGTGATTTGAACACAGCAGCATTCAACTAGCACCAGCCTGTGAAGGTCATTAGGTTTCAATAACCTGTCCAGTAGAGCCTGGCTTGCTTCTATGGTCCTCTTCACTGTGGGAGTTGCAACTCAGTGCAGTGAATACATAAAACCCATCTATTCTGAAACAGAACAAATTTACTCTTTCTTCAAACATCAATTGGTGGGGAAAAAAATATTCAGTATTCAACAAAAAGGAGATTGCATCAAACAGAAGAATCCAATTAACTTTTCACTTAATTCAAACAGCTGTTTTTGAATTTCTGATCAAAATTTTAGAGGTCAAACTATTACTTACTATAGCATTAAAAGTGTCTATCTAATTCACCAACAAGAGTTAGCTCTCTCTAACAAACCCGAAGCAAGAAACAAATGGGCCATTTCTACTAATACTCTACGACAGCCCATTCCACTTTAAAAGGCTGACAGAAATTCAATATCAATTTTGATTCTCTCAAGAACTGACCAGCATATTCAAGCATTCGAAGACTAAGATTGCTGGATGCCCAAACTGCTGTGGACAGGTAATTTCCATGCTCTATCTTTGGAAGCCTTGTGCTGAGCTGATTCCTAAGGTAACATCCATTTAATCTTACTTTTGAAGATGTCGAGTCACACTCCTGACAGATCCAACCATAGCCTGTCTGTTTCGGGGACTTCTTCAGTGGCGGGTCAAGGCAACCAAAGTGGTAACAGAGTCTGCATTCGTCACATCTGCACAGGAGAACAATTTTCAGATTAAATCAGTTTACTGGCTATTATAGACACACATGTATAGAATGAATTAAGTAATAGAAGCTACAGTTTGACCATCAGCAGTGTGTCTGCTGATTACACATGGAACAGAGAAAGAGAGATGCTTTATACAACTCTATCCTCTCTGACATAGACTCATATAATGAAGTGGGTGATGGGGTTAGTGCCTATCTTACGACTCCTAAACCAAATCAATTCTTCGACTGTCAGTAAGAGGAACCAGATGAAGTGTTCACTTGCAGTTTTATGTCTGAAAACACAATTGTAGTAAAATAATGAGGTAACTTGTATTCAAATTATGCTAAGTCCACAGATTCATTAGTAACAATTGTGTTGCCCTTATACATCCACTGGATTCTGTATTAGCGACATCACTAGGAAACCGTCGTTACACTGCCTTCTCTGAACGGCTCTCACCCTGGCTGAGTCAAGCTCTCCGTCTGCACAACTAAGCATGCAAAGGCCAGCTATATTTTTAAAGCTTTGAAAGAGATGGAGTAATGTATTAACTCCAAATGTTCTTTGTGGGACAGAATTCAAATGTTAGACCTGATTCTATCAATGTTGGCTTTGGGGACAGTGTCAGGTAGTGCATGAGGGCAGGATTGTAATCAGTACATTATGAATTGCTACATTTAAACTGCTTGTTAGATCCCATTATATGCAATCGAGCCTCGCAGCTTTTGTCGTAGGAAGATATCCATTTATTGTATATGCATGAAATCAGTTTAATTTTGATATTTAATCACCGGAGAATATTTCTTAAAGTTCATTACTGCCATTCTCTTCTATATAATTCCTGCCACATCTTGCCCACAAAATCTACAGGCAATTTACTTGACTTTATTTATTCTAATAATAATAATCCTTGCAATTAATATAGTGCTTTTCATGTCTTCTAGATATCTCAAAACCTTCACAGAATATAATAATCCTTGCATTTGATATAGCGCTCTTCACGTCGGGAGGACGTCCCAAAGCGCTTCACAGAACACACTGTAAAGTGAACCGACTGTACATTTGTGGGCGAAACGTGGTAGCCAATTGCGCACAGCAGTGTCCCACAAACAGTTGTGGATTGAAGTGACCAAATTATTTTTATATAAAGGGATTATTATCCCCGGAAAAGCGATCCACCAATTAACTAATAACTGGGTTCCCTCTTACTGCTAGGTACACGTGGAGTAAGGAAACTTGCCCAACATTTCGCCCTGCCTGGGAATAGACACAAGTCTCTCGCCTGCGAGGTGAGTGCTCTAACCACTGAGCTACAGGACTCCTGTGAAGCACTTTGAGACATCTCAACAATGTGAAAAGGCTCTATATCAAATGAAAGGATTATTATTATTCTTTATAATTGATGTTAAACTTTGCCCGAGAACGATGTAACCCCATAAATATACAGAATTAGGAAATGAGGACATTCAGTTCATTTTTTTATATATCATATACAATTCATTCTGTTATGGACTCTTCCGAATGTACTTAATTTCATGAGATCTTCTTTTTCAATTTAGCTTTTGTTTAACTCTGGACAGTAGATTTACCAAATAAGCCACAAAGTGACTGGTTAAAACTGCAGGTTCTTTCTTTGTGACGTTTACTGATGTTTGAAGACTCAAAAGGTTTTCAATTATTGGTAAAATGTTAACCTGCATCATTACAGAACAGAGAACGTTGACCCCCGACTCTTCACACTCAAAAGAGAAATCAATATAAAATTTCCCATTAAGTCATCCTGGCTAATCTAATTGCATACGTTACAGCACACTAACTCAGACATTGATGTTCAACACCATGAAGTTTACAGCCTTTGCTGTGTGTGGTCAGGCCATGAAGACAATGGGGTCAATTTAGCAATACTGCTGCATTTTTAATCCTGAGTTATTGAGCCACAAAGCTGGGCCACTGTATTCGATCTCTTGCTCGATCTTTTTGAATTGCCGAGAATCAACTTTCAAACTAAGACTGAACTTAAGATTTTTTCTAAATTCTATGCAACCTATGCAGCAAATTGTAGTGACTGTGGATTATGTTGGCGAACCCAATAGCCAATTTGTGCTCAGCAATGTCCCACAAACAGCCGTGAGATTAAGATTCAGTTCCGAAAATGAAAAAAGCCCCCCCCCCAAACACTAAAAGTTTGCTCAAGTTTTAATAGCCTTAATATTTGCTAAATAGTTAAGTGATAAATACTGTAAAGAATAACTGTGATAAAGTAGATACTGCTAATTTGTTTATCCATCTGGCTGCCACTACACCTGGCATGCTCTGTGAACATGGCAAGTTCAAACTGCTTGTAAGATAAACCTTTGTTTATATTCTTTACTATCCAATGAGTGTAAATAGCAGTCTTTGTTTCTAATTCTCAGCCAAATAACCACATTTTTGGAAATTGCTCACGGGTGGATGGATAACACTGATATCAGAACTAATTCAAAAATCTGCTGCCCGGATTCTCACCCACACAAAACACCAATTACCAAAGGGATCAATTTCAAGATCCTCTCACACGTTTTCAAATCCCTTCATGGCCTCGCACCTCCCTACCTATCCGATTTGCTTACCACAAACTACACCACCCACTGCCTCTGCTCAGCTCGCTCTGGCCTCCTGTTTGTCCCTCGTCCCCTCCACTCCACCATCCGTGGTCGTGCCACTCTGCCCCGAAACATTGGAACTCTCTCCCTCAATCCCTCCGCCTTGCCCCTTCCTCCTCACTATCAAATCCTGCCTAAAGACCTTCCTTTCTTACCTCTCCCCTCGGTTCAGTGTCAGACTCCACCACTTTCAAGTGCTCTGGGACACTACCCTGGGTGAAGAGGGCTCTATAAACGCAAGCTGTTGTTGTATTCCCCTCTCCCTTCATTTTGAATGGATCTATACTATTGAATTCAATCACCACTTCAGGCAGCGAGTTCCACAAACTCACTAACCTCTGCATGAAATAGATCCTCCTAAGTTCTCTTCTAGATGCCTTAGTCGCTATCTTATACTTGTGTCCCCTGTTTATGGACTCCCCAACCAATAGAAACAGCCTATTTATGCTAGCCTTATCACCTTTATTAAGTCTCCCCATAAATGTCTCATCTCTAGTAAAAAAGGCCTAACCTATCCAGTCTATCCTGAAAGCAGGAATCTGCCAGCCCTGGTATCAAAACAAAACAATACAATAATAAATTGGTCATTTCCAATCCACGACTGTTTGTGAGACACTGCTGTGTGCAATTGGCTGCCGCGTTTCACCCACAAATATACTGTCAATTCACTTTACAGTATATTCTGTGAAGCGCTTTGAGACGTCTAGAAGACGTGAAAAGCGCTATATCAAATGCAAGGATTATTATTATTATTATTATCATCCTTATAAACCTACGCAATATTCTATCTATTGCTGCTATATCCTTCTGATAGTGTGGAGACCAGAATTTGACAGTGTTCCAAACACAGTCTAACCAAGGTTTTGTACAAAGTCAATATCATCTCCTCACTTTTATATTCTACCCTTCTGGGTATAAAGCTCAAGACCCCATTGGCCTTTTTATTATAGGCTTATCTACCAGTGCAGCTACTTCCAGAAATTTTTGGATCTCCAGATCTCTTTGCTCCTCTACTTCTGTTGGGTTCAATTACATGTTTAATTATACTCCAGACAGTGCAGATTAAAGTGATGTGAGACTGCCTCCCTGTGTTTAAGGTTTGTAGTAAAGCTGCAGGAGTTTATATCACAGCAGTATGAAAATTTGTCTGAATTGTGCAGGGCAACTGAGCTAACAACGTCTCAGTAATTTTAATACATCAGTTTTCATTTAATCTGCTTGCCGTGCTTCACTGTGTTTTGTGTACCTTAATCGAAATAAATCTCACAGCAGCCAGGCCATTATTATTCAATTCTGTGCTAATCAACAGTGGCAATCCTGAGGTTAGAATGTAAATCAGATAAGTAAGATAATAGGCAAGGGTCAATCTTATCTTAATAAAACCAAAACATCGCTTGCTTCCAGATTTCCATTATGCTACACTTCCTGCACAAGAGGGAGGCTTATCAGTTGGCGTGCAGAAGTCTCTGACCAAGAACACAGGAACAGGTTTTCATCTTCACAGCACTAAGAATCCACTGAGCGTGCCCAATATTGACCCACGCATACATACATCTTCTTTCACTTCATGCAAAAGTAACAGAAAGATGACTATCACTGACTTTATTTAAAGCTACAGTATTCATTAGCAGACTATTCCAGCAAAACTATAAGCAAATGATGAAATATGTGATTACATAACAGATTTAATGACTGTACTAGTTTGCAGCTATCATTATTTTCTTTGTAAAACAAAGATTATTGCACTGCACAATAAGATTAATACCTTAAACACAACTATTAATGTGCCCCGTAGTATGGCCACTAATAGGCTAAAATGCTTATATTGTTTGGATTTTTGGGATAATTTGAAAACGTTTTTGCTTTACACATATTTATACTTTAACAGTAACAAAAACTTGTTGAATGCTGATGTAATGCATCATGGGTGACCTATGTATTGTCTTGCAGAACTGGGGGACAGGCTACACAACTGACAGGTTTAACTGAGAGGTTGAGATCCAGTTTGCTATCCATTTTTGTTATTTAAGGATTCCATCAGATATTATACATTTTACTTTTCCAAATAATTTTCAGCATTTTAATGATCACAGAGGGCAAAATGTCAGGAGAGGTTTGATGAAAATACAATCCAAATGATATTGGACACACAATTTAAGAGTGTAGTATTATCAACTGCTTGGAAGCTGAATGTAGGCTTGGCATTTTGTGATTTTTCTGTGTATGTTTTATGTGCGGAAGAAGTTGAACACAGATGAATCATCGTATATGGTTGTCTGAAGCAGTGCAAGCTGACAAAAAAGGTCAGGTGGGAGATTGTGACAAAGTGATGGTAAGCAGCAGACTGAGAAATTAACA